TGCCAACGGATGTAACGGGGCAAGGCGGCAAGTTTGCCCGAAATATTACGACAATATATACCCCGAGTCGCTGATTCAGAGGCATCGATTGCGCCGGATAGGCGTTGTACGGGATTGTAGATGGTCGAGGAGAGGATATTTTGGTTTCGAGATCGAGCTGGGAAAGAGGGGATATTAGGTCTCGAGTAGGTAGATATTGTCGCGGCGATCGTTGGATAGATATTTTTATCTGTCATAGTTAATTTTATTCATTTTCGAATTTGTAATTTAATTAATAGGGCGATTAAAAGTAAAGATGTTTTGTTAATATAAAAGGATTTTATTATATATTTTATTTAAATAAATAGTTACGATATCTGTTTTAGGAGGAGATTGAAGTTGTTCTTGATAAAAATAATTTGAATTTGAATAATATTTCGTCATTGATATTTCGAATATTTCAATAGTTCTAATTTTATATTAAATAGGGAGAAAATATGAAAATAGAAGAAGGAAAAGGAAAAAGGATTTGCAATGGATCTGCCGGCCGAACTTCTTTCTCGAGAAGCAAGGCGAGGTTTAATATTCCGGGCATTTCGCTGGCGCCTTGATAAACGAAAAAAAGATAAGAGGGGAGAGAAAGGGGTGGAATAAGCAGCGGGGAAAAGAAATTAAAAATAAGGAAACACGGGGATCGGGAGCTTAAAGCTAATGATCAAGGTATAATTAGCAAAACAGGGGGTGAAAGGAGAGAAAGTTGGAAAATTTTCCAGAAAACTTTCTAATTATTTATTATTCTCAACTATATAAAATTGCTTGAAACGATTAAAAGTTGTTGGAGAAACGAAACAATTGTCGTTTAATAACTTGGATTAATTATTCGAAAGAAATTTATTAGAAATTTAACGAAGATTTATTTTTAAAATTTATTGAAAAGGAATAAAATTCGGGATAGATTTATTATACTAAACTTTACGATGTTTTATTTTTTAAAATTAAAAAAGAAGGAGGAAAGAAAATAATATAAAATACGTTTCAATAATTTTTATAAATGAAAAAGGAAGAATCGAATTTTTATTGTTAAGGAAAATCAAACTATGAAGATTGTTCCGTTTGATACACTACCGAAACAGTCTTTCGTAGCGAACTTTGCTCGTTTGCCGTCAGTGTTACGATCTTGTGTCGCGCGTATTACATTCTTACTTTGTGCTTTCTTCGATGTCAGCTGGTAGATAACAGGAATATATCCCCCTCTTATTGTTAAATGCTCGAAAGAAATAAGATATGGAAGATTCTTTCGCCATATCGGAGGGGAGGGAGAACGATTATTTCTTACGAAAATAGCCTACTTTATATATAAAAATTTATTGCCTTTCCTCGAAATAGGTTCTATTTATATGATATAAGAAATTAAAAAACCATAAAATATTACAAAATTTTTTCCAAAATTTAAAATATATTTATTATAAAACGATACTTTATATATAATCAATTTTTCAGAGACGCATGTATGTACACGTTTTTTAAATTAAAATTATTCCAAATAAAAGAAGAATTCAAATCTATATCGAAGAGTCTTCTAATAATAAAAAAGAACTCGAAACACACGATAACGTATTATTTTATTCCATCATCGTTTGAAAATAATGTCTCTGAAGAGGTTTCATATAATTACAACGTTTGTTGCAACGTTAACCAATATATATCCATAAGTATCTAGACTCTCGATGACTATAGCGCGTCTATAGTATGGAACGATCACGCGTTGAAGTCTCTGAAAGCCTAAAAATGATCCCTCGGCTACCTACCGATCGTTGACAAATGGTAGAGGACTAAACAGGGCGGATTCGAGCGAAATTACATTTATAAACATTTGTTTCGCAAGAGAGAAATTATTTGCTCGACCCACGTTGTCGCGAACGTTTCGTAATAAACTTATCTCGCTCGACGCGACGATACATCAATCAATTACATTATTTACGGAAAGCTTTCAGTCGAATTAATATCATGACGTTACGGATGAACGTGAATTTA